CCTCCACCAACAGCTGCAATGTACAAGAAGTGGGAGACTGGTTCAAAGACCAGCCCACTTTAAAGACTGAGGTCTAACAGACTGCAATGTGCTGGTGGTAAAGGCCATGTCCCTGAGTTGGTCTATCTCAGGGGTCGGCAACCTTTCAGAAGTGGTGTGCCAAGTCTTCATTTATTCACTGTAATTTAAGGTTTTGCGTGCCCTAATACATTTTAATGTTTTTAGAAGGTCTCTTTCTATAAGTCTATAATATATAACTAAACTATTGTATGTAAAGTAAATAAGGTTTTTAAAATGTTTAAGAAGCTTCATTTAAAATTAAAATGCAGAGCCCCCCGGACCGGTGGCCAGGACCCGGGCAGTGTGAGTGCCACTGAAAATCAGCTCATGTGCCGCCTTTTGGCATGCGTGCCATAGGTTGCCTGCCCCTGGTCTATCTACTAGTAATCTCTGGCCCCAGCAAGTCAGCAAATGCTGGCACAAAACAAACAACAACAACAGTTAAAAGGAAAGATGTCACAACCTGCCTGGAACATGAAGGGAGGCACACAGACTGCAGGAAGGAATAGTTTGGTAGAGGCAGCAAGAAGTCAGTCTGTTTGCACAGTGCTTGAATTCTAGCTGCAGTTGCAGCATCTCTGTTAATAAAGAGCCAGTTTAGTTTTAGAAACATGGAATGCTCTCATGTTATTACCCTGGACATTTGTCTGTCAGTTAATATTTTATATATCAATGTCATTATCAAGAATATTTGTTTTCATCCATGGAACTCTTTTTATACAAGGAAGTATTGTCATCTCGATTTTTACAACTAGGGAAACTGAACTATGCTCCCCATAGATAAACTACGTATTCTTAGTCCTGGATTTACTTCACCTTCCCAAGCCCAGACCACAGGATCAGGTTTTCCTTGCAACATGCTGATAAAAATAATTTTTTAGAAATTAAGAATAGTGTCTTGTACACAAAATCTTAAAGAGGTCATCACACAATGGCCCCTTATGTCTTATAGATCAGCACCACTGCTCTTTATAAAGGACCAATACCTTTAACTTTTGAAAGTTCAGCTTCATTCACATTCACCAGTTTACATTTAGGTGCAGGGTCTGGTAAATGTGGGCAGTGTCTACAGAAAATACACTAATTAGAAATGAGCTGTTCAAATCTAACCTAGCTGCTTGTTCAAAATTGCTGTGCAGAAGTGAAACTGAGCCAGAGTTTCACATTGATTACTTGCATTTATCATTCCCCAGCCCTCCTCAAGTTCTGCTTCTGGGCTTTACCCTTATTACAAACTGCTGGTGAGACTATTTGTATATGTTGTGCAAAACCATGGTAAACACTTCACATACTGAACCGTCCAGAGGGCTCCCTCTGCAGAAGGGACCCTAGTAATCGGGGGATATACTGATGTGCTTTGAGATAAGATGATGATTCTGTGCAAACTAAAAAGGCAGAAGTAGCAAATCACCTGTTAGGTGGATGAATAAAATGCTTAGTGCCAAATTCTGCTTAGTCTTATACTGTTTGCTATCCCAGTGAAATCAATATTGGATTGCACAGGATGTGTGTCAGGGCAGAATATGGTAGGGTTACCATATTTTAGTTTTAAAAAAGGAGGACACTCCACGGGGCCCCAGCCCCGCCCCAACTCCACCCCTTCCCCAAAATCCCCGCCCCAACTCTGCCCCCTCCCCTGAACGCTCCGCCCCCTACTCCTCCCCCTCCCCTGCTTCCCGCGAATCAAATGTTCGCGGGAAGCCTGAAACAGGGAGGCAGCAGGTAAGCTGGGGCGTATGGTAACCCTAGAATATGGCCTTTGGTATAACAAAAATTTAGCAAAAATGGACTCTTTCTACTTCAAATATTTGATAGGGGAAAAGGCTCCCATTAGACAGATGAGAGAGAATAGGATGAATGAGTCAATGGGCTTTCTCCAATGGTTGAAATGAATCATAATGGCCAATAAACCTTCCCAGTTCCACCTCAAAAATACCAGTAATCTGTTGCACTGAGTTTCATAATTTAACCTGTCATGTTTGAAGATACAATATTGGAAATGTGTGGGTAAAGTACTAAGCATTTTCAGTGAATAAATGGTGAGAAAATGTTTAAGATTTTAGCTGATGACCCTTTAGCATTGCTGCCTACAGCAATGTGCTGTATATCACCACCTGTCATATTTAATCAGACAATCTCCTTGCCTGGTATTTAGCAGCAAGTCTCTTATGTTTCTCATATGTTGCCTCATCAGTAAAAATTCCTTCTGTAGTCAGGTTATTAGTGGAGTGTTAAATGTAATATGCTGATCTAAGCCCTTTTAAAAATCAAATCTGTGATATTTTCTTTCTGTTTTTGCTGGGCCTCAGGCCCTGAATGCAAAATAATTCTAAACCTTCCCGCTTTCACCCACCCACTCTTTCTTTGATCTTTAATCGTTGCAAATGAAGAGCCAAGCAGACGCTAGGAGTCATTACAGCTAAGTGTAAACTGTAGAACTGGGGTATGTCATTATATTGCAGAAAGACTGTTGTGCCTATGATAGTAAAGCCAATCCTACTCCAAATAAACTTGTAATATTATATTTATGAAATGGTAAGAACATTAACATGAAAATAATCACAGCTCAGATACTCCAGAGAACATTTATTCCTCTGAGATGCAGTGACAATTTCTGGCTAGGAAATGAAAAATGATTATCTTGTTAGTAGCACTGCATGCTCTGCTTTGCAATGTGATTATTTACTATTTCTACTACATTAGCACTTCGGGCATGTCTACACTGCATTTGGGAGCTAGCTTCTCAGCCTGGGTCCATAGACTCGTGTTAGCAGGGCTCTAACACTAGCTGTGTGGACGTAACTCTGACACTGCAGCTGGGGCTGGAGCTCAGACTCCCAAGTTCACCCACTCCCACAGGCTTCAGAGCCCAAGCTCCAGCCCAAGCTGCAATATCTATGATGCTATCTTCAGAGGGCTAGCGTGAGCCTTGATAAAACAAGTCTGTGGATCCGGACTGGTAGGCTCGCTCCTAGGTGTAGAGGAAGTATTATTATTTCCGTTTTACAGGTGGGGAACTGAGACACAGAGAAGGTAAACAGTTTGACCAAGGTCAAATAGGAAGTCAGTGGAACAATAAGAAACTGAACCCAGCTGCCCTGAGACCGAGTGCACAGCCTTAACCACCAGACCTTTCTGTGAAGTTGTCCCATCTCAGCCATTAAGCAGGATTGAGGCTGGTCAGTACTGGAATGTGAGCCCTCCAGTGTCTTGCCACAGTAGTGGTTTTGAGTAGCTCAAACCATCTCAAAATCTCCCATATTGGCATTCCATGGATATTGAACAGGATGCATGGCAACCTGCCGAACTCTACAAGAAAGGGGAAATTGCCCAGCACAATTGTCTTGGATCTTTCTGAGAGAAGGTTACAGGACAACTGCAGTAAACCAAACCCTCTGACTCAGGCAGTAATGTTTGGTAAACACTTGTGGTAATTAAGGATCCCCTTGTACATTTTGAAGAATAGGTGTGGCCTCGCTGCAACTGGTCAGAAAATCAACATCTAAATGAAATTTCAAAAAGAAGTTGGGGGGCAGGGAGGGGGAATTATGTGAATATTTTTGTTTGTTTGTTGTTTTTGGCCAGCTCTAGGCTAGGCCAAATTCTAATTTAGGAGTTCCCAATCTAAGGGCTCAGTCTAAGATGCTGAGCATTGTGGGCCTGATTCAGTATAGCACTTAAGCATGTGCTTAAATTGAAGTCAATGGGATTGCTCATCTGCTTAAAGTTAAGCATGTGCTTAAGTGCTTTGCTGGATAAGGACCAGAGTACTCAGGACTTTGCAGGATCAAGTCCTAACTTAGGAAATAACCCTTCAGTTGTATAATTCCTCTTCTAAACAAACACCTTCATACGCCTTGAACTGGAGTCCTGCTGCTCCTGACTCAGAAGGACAGCAGTGTTTCCACTTCCAATCACTGCTTTTCAGTGTACATATTATTTGTAAGACATTTTGGGGGAACAGTTAAAGTAAAAGATGCTTAGACAATTTAAAACATTTTAGTGGAGAAAAAGGTGATAGGTGCTAAGAAAGAGGTGGATTAAATATTAACTGGGTAGAGTATGTTTGATTATTGTTTATTTTATTTCTTGCAAAAAGAAAACCCCTGTGTGTTTTCATTGCATTTATGAACCAGATACCCTGAAGAGATTTTAAGCTTGGTTATATTTCCTGTTATAGAGCAAACCAACCTTCTTTTGCTTCAGTATGGTATTTACACCATTTTTTCATTTTGTTTTTTTTAAATGTTTTCTGTTTTGCATTTTGGCTTTTCCTGAGCCTAACAGTTTCCTGTGTTTTTTGCACAGGTTGCCATTTCTTCTCTCTGTTTGCAAAATGGTTTGTTATTGTTTCTTATGAATTTTAGCACCCCTGTCAGATCAAATAATAAGATTAAGGAATTCTATCAATGCCACAGAGTGTGGATATAGTCTGCAAGCCCTTTGGTGGGGAATTTGAGAAGTGTGAACACAGAATTCTAAGGCACATCCTTTGCAAAAGTATATCCTATAAAATAGTTAACCTACAGCATAGCACAGTACAAAAAAGTGACTCTTGCCCTGAGTATTAAGTTGGCTTTTAGATTAATTCCAGAGACATTTTCCCCTTGTTCAGCCCATGGGGTTCTGCATAGATACAGGGGGTCCACACTAGTGTATCAGATTGTAAGAGCAGGGCCTAAGTTGAGTGGACATCAGTTTATGGAGCGCATACCCAAATACCTTATAATATTGCAGGAATATTCCCCAGTTATGCTGAGTGCAAGAAAAGGCTGAAAATGGTATAGAAACTGTAAAATCCTGAAAAAAAATTACAGAAAATCGAGTTATTGTATTTCATAAGTACAGTTTAGCAAACTGTTTTGCTCTTGCTATAAAGTAGAGATCCATTTGTATTCTGGATAAATTAGAACTGATTTCTCATAATATTCACACCACAGGTCAGTTACTCCGGCTAAAGATGTTTCGAGAGGATCATGGATCTTGGATGACAATGTTCTTCAGCACCATTCTCGTCCTTTTCATTTTTTCTCACATTTACAATCTGTGCCTCCTTATGGCAGGGAATATGAGGTAGGCCATGGGTTTTATTTTCTCTGTCTTCTATTGGTGTATATATTCTCTCTGGAATTTATTTTATAGTGTGCTCCTGTATAATTAACAGTTTACTATAATGAAAACTCATTAGCATTTGAAATCTACCTTTTTCATACCTCTGTTTTTCTGAATTTAGGCATGATGGTAATTTAGCAGCTTGACTGACTATGAGGTTTGATGATCAGTGATGAGTAGTATTAAGCTGATTAGTTCACAATTATAAAAATGTGACCTCAGCTATTAAGCCAACTTACTAATGATTCTCGTATCTACTGCTTATAGTTTGTTCACAGAAAAAAAATACATTAAACTGAAGTTAAGGTTGAGCATGTATCAGTAATTTAAGGGTAAAAACATTACAGGGACATTGTAATTATCCCAATACAAAGCATTACAACCCAGGAAATTCAGATGATCAAATGGGTGAATATCTTATCTACTTAGCAAGCCGAAAAAGATACTATTAAAGAATATGATGATGTGTTGTTTAATGGACTGAAATGCATTAAGGAAATATAAATGTGATGTATTATAGGTCCCAGTGTGCTGCCAAAAATATATGCAGCATGTGAAGTCCCATTACCAACATAAGATAAAATAAAAGCTGAACTTGACTAGATGATAAAACAACTGGGCTAATAATGTGGTTACCATAATAACACCAAACATTATGAAGTTGTATTGTTCCAATAGATATAAATAAGGGCATCAAATGCAATTACTATCCTAGGAGAGCAAGTGTCCATGTGGTCAGAAAACCATCAAGGCTCTGAGATGGTAGTTACTGACAGATACCCAATATAAACAAGGTAGGATAATCCTCCCAGCTCATGAGGTTTAGGTCTTACATGACCATCCTGCATTTGTGTCTGTTATTGACTGTGTCATTTTGTTATTATTATGCTTTATTTGCATTTGATTTTCCAAAAAATAGAAGATATAACTAGCTCTTGGAGTCAGTGAATACTGGGCCCTGCCAGGTGACAGCATTAAGATTTTGTAACCTTGACTCATGTTCGGAAATGAAGTTAATTCACTCTTGCCAGCACTTCTGTGCCTCGCCTTTATTACACTCTCCCTTGTTTTGTTTGCATACTGCCATCTGTGCTGAAACGACTGTGTGATAGTCAAAGCCTATGTGCACACAGACAGACACAATCTATTTAAAAAATAGCATGTATCAATCAATCTTCTTATAGAACATGAAATAAAGTCTCTCCATCCTTGGTGTTTATGCCAGTCTGATATCTGAAGAAAATTATTATGAGAAATTGACTGTGCTATGCCTGGTGAATCATTTGGACTCACCAAATGCTCTGAAGGTTTATTGGAATGTGCTTGGTGCATTTCTAGCATTGGGACAGTAGGCAAGAATGTAAACAAACAGTAAAAATCTCACTCTTCAACTGTGTGACTTTGATGTAGAATAATATCACTTCCTCCCACATCATGTATGTGTCTGCTATACTTATCCTGCAAAATTCTTCCATTCAGAAGCAAACTTTTCAACTGTAGATAGTGTATTCAGACAAAATAGAGCTTGAATTGGCTCTCTCAGAGTACAGGTAGTGCAATATGCATTAATTCTCAGAAAAAAAACACCAGTTGGGTTTGAGAGACTCATCAACAAAAGAGAGAATGCCAGAGCCTACTGTTTAACTCTGTCTTACAATGACATTTTAGAGAGTAGATTTCCTCTCATTTTAGTGAATGTAATGTTTATGAAAGCTGCTTGTTTGACTCTATACAAAGGAGTTACAGCATGGACAGCACACTTTGCTACACTGCCTTACTAGTGCAGCCCAATCCTACACTGGAGGAACTGGCATTAAAGGTAAAGGGGTAGGTCAGTATCCATGGTCACGCAGTCTGTAGTCTCTGCACAGATTGCTGACATGCATACTTACTGTGATGTGGACTCCTGAACATTAAATACTTTAAAATAAAAGCATTTACAATAATAAAATCATCCTTCCAAAACAAGGGCTGAGAGCAGGGCTTTTTTTAGGGGTGGGCAAGCAGTGTGGCCACCTTGAGTATCAACTTCTTGGAACGTTTTCCACCCTGACCAGCAAAAGCTGGCTGAGAAAGCCTTAAAACCCCAACCCCCCAAGACTGAGTGGGAAAAGATCAACTCTTCTTGTGCATGTGTGCACATCACTTTGTCCCTCTACCAGCTAGCTTTGTGTGATGGCAGGGGAATGAAGCTGACAAGTTTCTTCATCTCTGAATACTGGATCTTGTCAATGAAAAGTCCCTAGTGCCTCACAGAATGGAGATACTGGGAGAGTGATGAATGTTGCCAGATGCATGTCTGCGCTGGTGAACACAACAAAAACAATGTCCTGTTGGGGGTTGGAGTGGGTAGGTTTGGAGTGAGTGAGTGAGTCCCAAGACAGGAGATAGAGCTTTAACATTGTTTCAAGACTCATCTCGGAGTATGTGATAGGTTTGTGTTTATTGATGAAACTTTTTTTAAAGTGCTGTTTCAATGAGTGTTTTATGTTTGTCAAACCCAAGAATGTTTCATTAGTGTCCCTTTAAAAGTTTAGGAATTGTGCTTTACTGGGCGCTGAAAATAGGTGGCCAGTTTGTTGGTGGCTGAATACACACTGTGCAGCCAAAGGTTGCTTGGAGAGTATGAACAGCTGGATCAAAATCTTCGTGATTAGCCATTTGTGACTGTGACAGAGTGGGGATAGATCTCTACTGTATTGGGAACACCATCTTGCCCATGAATGTAATTTCTTGTTAGGGGCTCCACTTTGTATTGCAACCTCCATTGTAGATTGGGGCATCCATTTTTTGGCAGTAGGGGCTTGACACCTCGTTGAATGACTATCTGTCTGAGAAGTTGGCACAGAGCAATGTAATGCTATCAGGTCTGATTGTCTCTCAGTTATCAGCCCAACCACAAGAATGATGAACTCTCTCCGCCTGGGTATATGGCCCAATGAGGTCAGAGACTACATTTAAGAGGGGAATTCTCTCTCTGAAGGGAGTGTGTGTAGCAGATCACAGCCACCATGCAGGAAGTCTGGGCTAAGGAGGTAGAAAATCAGAAAAGCTGCTTATCCTATGGAGGCTCACCAAACACAGGACATAGAGGGGGGTGATTTCAGGATTGTTTGTTATTTTCCAAATATCTGTAATTCTCTAATGCTGTTGAAGAGTAAAATGCCTGTGGTTAAGAAATTCCTTTTCTAAACCTGAGTTCCTTGCCTGCCTGCCATCTTGCCCCTGAAGGGCTGGAATGCTGCTTTGGGTGGTCTAAGGCAGCTGGACTGGAGGATCTTACTGCCCAAGAAGGGTGCTAGACACAGGGTATCTGGGAATATACCTGAGAGACTCAGAGCTACAAACTGTGACCAGTCACCACTAGAGCAGGTCGAGAATTTTCTACAGAAAAAAAAATTTTTTTTGGGGGGGGGGGAAATGCCAATTAATTGAAACAAAATCTTTGTGAAAATTATTCACTTTTGATGGAAGACTTCTCACTGCCCCTAGTTCTGAGAGGGGTGAGATAGAAAGAGGGGCCCTGGAATAGCCAGGTGGCTAGGGCACTCATCTGGAATGTGGGAGACCCCTCTTCAAGATCCTGCTCTGCCTGATTCAAAGTAAGGACAGGAACGTGAACCTGGGTCTGCCGTGTTCTAGATAAATGCTCTTTATCTCTTTTCTGTTGGAGCTGTTCCTCATTGTATAAATATGCTTTTCGGTCACAGACACTGACTAGCCTCGTGATTAAGGAACTCATGTAGGATATGGACACCCAAGTTCAAGTCCCTGTGACTCCCACATCCCAAGAGAATTCCCTAACCACTGGGGTGGGTCTCTCTGCTTTTCATGAAGCATTTCTAAAGGTTGCAATTTCGTCCTAATGCGGAACCGGAAAAATGTTTGAAGTTGTGAAAATGTTTATAGGACAGGAAAACTATTTCCCACCCAGCCCTTGTCACTCTTCAGACCCTGATGAGATGTGGTTCCTAGCAGGTGGGTTCACTCACAACAGGCTGGTGTCCATCCAGAGAGGGGGACAGGGGCAGATTGTGACAGTGACCTTCATAACACTGAGGTGGCATGTAAGTTAAGGCAGCTGAGAGTGGCTTATGCACAGATGATGCTAGAGGTTTTATTTCAGGAAGTTCTTTTCTTAAGAACACTAGAGTCTAAAACTGATTAAAGAGAAACCGAAGAACTAGGCTGAGATTTTCAAAGGATCCTAAGGCAGTTATTTCACCCAACTTCCATAGAATTCAATGGGATTTGTGTGCATAAAGCCCCTTCGAAAATCTTGGCCAGAGAGCTTTGCCTAGGATGTGCCTGCTTGAGTGTCTGCCCTACTCCTTCTGCCATATTGCCAGGAATGAGGCAATAGTGAAAAGGGTGCTTTCGAGCCGTATTTCTCAGTTTTTACATAGCACTTCTCATCCTTCGGTCTCAGCACTTTCTAAAGGACAGTGTATATCAGTATCCTCATTTCACAGGTGGGGGTGCTGAGTCACAGAGATGAGTGACTTGCTCAAGGTCACATGGTAGGTAGAACCCAGGTCTCCTGACTACCAAGCCAGTGCCCTGTGTGTTTTAGGCCCAAATGTTTAGCCACCTTCGTACTGTTTTAATCTACTATGGACTTCTGTGGTCTAAATTCTATTATCTTGTACTCAAGTCCACTAGTGCTGGCCCTCTGTGGAAAGTCCTGCCTAGCTCCTGATGTCAGGCATCTCTAGAAGATTATTGGCTCCACGATGTCATAATGCAGACAGGACTTCCAGCAGCTGCCAGGGTGGGTGGACAGCATGTCTATGACAGGACAAAGTTAAAGATGAAAAGCAATATTGTCCCTTCTATTTCACTGTTACTGAATATTATTTTTAAAGCAATAGTTGGTCTTTTGCCCTTATGCAGTATTGGTTAGCTGAGACAATTCACATTTTTACAAACCTCATCACTGATTCTGATGCAAGAAAGGAACT